CACCCCCCCCCTTCCCCCTGGCCCCCCCCCCCCCCGCCCGCCTCTCGCTGCTAGCGGCTTCGCTCCCCGGCTTTCCTCTCGTCTCCCCGTCTTCCCTACCTCCCCGGTCCTCCGGGCTCCCCGAGAAGCAGACGCTGCCCTCGTCGTCCCTAGTTACTCAGCGTCCGCGGAGCAGCCCACACCACCTGGGAGCTTGTTAGCGTCGCTAATCTCAGCCTCCACCCCAGACCTGGGAAGCGGGGCCTGCCTTTTACCAAAACCCTCAAGACGTCTCAATGCGTGTCCAAATTTTAAAAGTGCTCCTCTGCAGGGTTTGCACGCCTTATCAGAACTGCTGCTCCTCCACCTCGTTCCAACACGTTTTGGTTTATATAAATCACTTGCCAAAACCGCTATGTCTTCGGGTCATCACAGAAACAACTTGAAATCGCCGAGATCCCACTATCTACATAGATAAATGGAGGGAAACTAGAGCCCAGCTCTCCCGACTAGATTGACCTACTCCCTCCCCAGAACCTTGGAGTGTGATTAGCAGAAGCCGCAGGTGTCTGCCTTCCCAGTCCCTTCAAAACTAGGCGACTGGTGACTGTTGCCGCACAGCGAGCACTCACAGGCAGGCCCATTCCAGGCCTGATGATCACACTGAATTCTTGACTTTCTCAACTTTCCCATGCTTGCCATCACGTTCCGTTTTTCACTTGGCCATTCATTTATGCGCATCAAGAACTTACAACACACCAGGGCCCAGGGTTCTCTTGTGATGATTGTTGTTGAGATGAAAACACTTTCAAACCGCTAACCTGTTTTCTTTTAGAGACATAGATACAATTCCTTTCATGCTGATATAGCAGAGCCAGCACCGCACTGTATTTTTAAATTTTTCTTTCATTGCATAAATAAAATAATTATGAAGGTAGAGAAGCATAGAGGTTCCAAATGCAAGCCTGGAAGTCAGAGTGCCTGGCGTGGTGGTCAATAATCCCCTGTACAATGCAGATTAAATAAAATAATAGAGGGCCAGTAGGTGGTGTAGTGGTTGTGGCACTAGCCTCCCACACAGCCAGCCACGGTTTGAATCCCGGACCCGGTGGCTGGAATCCTGGATCTGCCAGGTGTGTGTGTGTGTGTACGTGCATGCCCAAAAGCTCAAGAAGGGAATGGAAGAGAAAGAACTGTGGTGTGTTCATCCCCCCTACAGGTGATTTCTCACTTTCTCTCTCTCTGTCTCTGTGTCCCAGCGAGCACATGCGTTCTACAGCAAAAATATCTCCTAAAAAAAAAAAAATAAAGATAATAGAGGTGTAGATTTTTAAGAGTCAGTGCTATGAATGGCATATGTGAATATGCATAAGTTTATGACATATTCATATTCAAAAGGAAACTGGTATCTCTAACCTTTTATGGCCTGGTTGACTGGGAGACAGGAGAACTACTGGTGAAATAGGAAGCATGCTGGGAGGCCCAGAGATCAGGATCTGCTGCTGGACATCAGACAGCATCACCTGATGGTGGGTTGTCAGTTGGAGCTTAAATATGCTACCTGACAGGTGAGCCAAGATGTAATTCACAGAACCTTTGACCTTTGTTAGATCCTCTAACATAGCAGTTGTTGCAAGAAATAAAACAGATTTATGTGAAATGGTCAGATGAACTATATACTTGCTTAAGAAATCAAATTTCCAGGACCAGCAGATGTTGTAATGGTTATTTCACTGGACTCCCATGTTAGTCGACAATGGTTCAAGTCCTGGATCCGGCAACTTAAAACTCATTCTGGAGGCATGTGTTTGTGTCCAAAATCCTAAGAAGAGACTGGAGAAGGGATTGTGGCATGGCCATCCTGCCTGGGGGAAGATTTCTTGCTTTCTGTCTCCTTGGCAAATGCCATGTGCCCTATAACAAAACTCTCAAAAAAAAAAATTATGGGACCAGCAGGTGGCATAATAGTTACATCGTTAGACACCCATGTAGTCAACTGTGGTTTGAGTCCCAGACCCAGCAGCTTAAAACTCACACCAGGCACATGTGTATGTGTGCCCAAAATCCTGAGAGGAGAATGGAGAAGACGGGATTGTGGCATGGCCACATGCGGTGATTTCTTGTTCTCTGTCTCTCTCTCTCTCTCTCTGTCTCTGTGGCGAGCACACATGCCCTATGGTAAAAAATCAAACTTCCTAAACAGCATGGCTTAGCAATGTATAGAATTCTAAAAAACAAAAACCCCAACCAATCTAATAGATTATCCATTAAAGTGTAAGCCTTAAAAAAAATAATCCTGGGCTGGCCATGAGACACAATGGTTGGGCTCTGTGCATAGGAAGCCAGATCTCATGTGACCAACTGTGATTTGAGTCCTGGCCCTGGCAGCTTGAGGAACATGTGCGTTTGTGCCCAAGATCCTGAGAGGACAGAGAAATAGAGGAGGAAAGATTGAAGTATGACCACATCCCATTGGTGATCCCTTTCTCTCTCTCTCTCTCTCATTCATTCATAGCAGTAAATTAAAAATATATAAGAGTAATAAGAATGAAGCAATGATTCCTTAAAAATTAAAATTCCTTTTTTTGCTTGTCTTCTTGGTATGGTCAGTTTCTTTTTAAAGGGGCCAGTAGGTGGCATGGTGGTTAAGGGTACTGAACTCCCACATGGCCAACCACAGTTTGAGTCCCAGACCTGGCAGCTTGCTTTCTTGCTTTCCCTCTCTCTCTCACTCTATTTCTCTCTGGTCAAGTTAAATAAATAATTTAAAAGAATAATTTATTTAATTTTATTAATTATTATCATTTTAAAATTTGCTATAGGGCACACGCACTCACCAGAGAGAGCGAGAGATGAGGAAAATGAGAAAGCAAGCCTCAAGGTCCGGGACTTGAGCTGTAATTAGCCATGTGGGAGTCCAGTGTCTTAACAACCATGCCACCTGCTAGCCCAGTATAGTCAGTTTTTAATGGACCAACATTCAGCCAAAAAAAAGAGAAAGCATGAGGCTTCTGATTTCAGTGCTGAATATCTGGTTTGGGAATCCAGGCTGCTACTTATTACTTTCTTTTTCACTCCCTTCATTTCAGTTGCCACAATGAACACTGATGATGTCCAAATGGAAGACAAATAAAAACCAGTTCAGGAGCCAGTGGGTAGAATGGTGATTAAGGCACTGGACTTCCACATGGTTGACCTTGGTTCAAGTCGCAGACCCAGCAGCTTGAAACTCATACTGGTTGCACATGAGTGCATGCCCAGAATCCCAGGAAGAGAATAGAGGAGAGAGGATTGCAAAGTGGCCATTCCCATTGGAGGGGGTGGGGGTGTGATTTCTCACTTTTCCTCTCTCTCTTTCTCTCCAGCCAGCGCATGCATTCTATGGAAAAAAAACTTAAAAGAAAAAACAAAAGCTGGTTCATTCTTCTGGTAAATTGGTCTGATAAAAACACATGGATTTTTATTTTGGAAGGTGGTGAGTGTTCGGGAAGAGTTTGCAATCACAGCCTAAAATGAGTTTTGCAGATTATTTGTGGATTTCAGTGATCTACTCAAAAACCCAGGGTCCATGGTCTCAGAGGGGATAATTGATGGGCTTTCAGGATGGTGTGAGAACCCTACTGAAAATTTTCAAAGGAGAAGACCATAGCTTTTGTGGGTCAAAATGTGTGCCTTTTCAGGGGCTTAGAATCACTGGATTTCCAATTCCTTACAGTCTTGGCTCCTTCCATTTTGTGAGATTCTCTCCCAAATCTCACTTATTTTGCCTTTTAGTGTTTTCTTAGTCTTTGTGTTTTCTTCTAAGATTTAAGCTCTGTAAAGACTGAGGGGAGGCCTATTCTAACCTTCAGCACATGTTCCCCTCTTACTTACACCCAAGGTTTTCAGAGACCTTCAGCTCCCCACCAATGTGAACCCCCTGGACAGTCAAGGAATACTGTGGTTTCCTATTCTGTGCATTTTCTGGGGAAGAACTTCGCCTGAACATTCTGAGATCCCTGACTGAAGAAGAGCCAGTTATTCAGTCAAGAACTTAGAGATCCACCAAGTTTAATTTCATTTTCATTTTTAAAGAAAGACAGCACCTTTATTTTCTCATCTCATCAAAGCCATTTCTCTAAAGCAGCTTTTTTTTTTTTTCCCCTTTTCTGTAATCGAAATGCCCCCAGATGAGTGCTGCATCTCAGTATCTGACCAGTAACAGGTTTGCCCATGCTTCGGACTGCCTAGTATATGCAATTTTCCACTTTGAATTTCATAAGAAATGAAAGCTGTCATCTTGGCAGTCCCTCAGAAAGTTAAACATAGAGTTGCCATATGATCTGGTAATTCCAAGAGAATTCAAAACATATGTTCACACAAAAACTTGTACACAGATGTTCGTAGCAGTATTATTCATAGTAGGTGAAAAGTAGAAGCAACCCAAATATCTATCAGCCGATGAATGGATAAACAAAATGTGGTCTATCCATTCAATGGGATATTCTTCAGCCATAAAAAAGGAATGAAGTTCTGATACATGCTACAATGTGAACTGAACCTTCAAAACATTTTAAGTAAAAGGAGCCAATCACAAAATCACATGTTGGAAGACCACATGTTATATGATTTCATATAGCTGAAATGTCCAAAATAAGCTAATCCATAGACAGAAAGAAGATTAGTGGTTGCTGGAGATAAGGTGGGAAGAATTAGATAGTGGTGTTCTGGGGCCATTAGGTGGTACGGTGGTTGGGGTGCGGGACTCCCACATGGCCGAACACAGTTCAAGTCCCAGACCTGGCAGCTTGGCTTCTTGCTTTCCCTTTCTCTCTCTGGTCAAAGTAATAAAAATAATAATAATAATGAATAAAATAAATGGTTCTTAAAAAAAAAAGAATTAGATAGTAATGTTCACACAACATTGTGAATACACTATAAGCCACTGAATTGTATGTTTTAAAATGATTAAAATCATGAATTTTATTTGAATATTTAATTTTTGAGATGGTGCTAGAAAGAGAAAAGATGGTATCATAATATTCCTTTGCTATATAAAATTCTAGGTGGATCCAGATGGGATATTCTGAATGATCTAGGACCTCATTTTCAAACTCTTCAAACCTACGGGTCTCCTATGCAGTCCACAATGCCCAAACTCTGAAGGTAGCAGGATTCCCAGACTCTTGCAGTAACCCATCATGTCTACCAAGAGACCGTAGCTCACTGTTTGGAGTCTCAGCTCTGGAAAGATTATGTCAGCAAACTGTTTTTTCCCCCTGGGCTTAAGATGCATGTTGTGTAACTGAATGGTGCTGTTGTTTTTATTTTAAGTACATAAAAAAGGTGAAACAATTGTACTGATTCATTATAGTTGCTATTAATCCCCCCAACACAATTTCATCTTCTCAAGTTACAATGCCAAGCAACCATCATACATTTCAGTAGGCAAATAACCAGGACAACTGCTGAAACAATGGAATCTGCTTGGTTTTACTGGTTAGAAATGAGATGCCAAAGGTACTGGGTTTTCATACACAGTAACAGCCAGCTTGTTTGTGGTCAGACTTGCAGTGACATCAACCTTCTGAGACATCTGTGAACCCAGGCGAAAGTGGAGAAGCAACAGGAGACTCACAGGTTCCTGCAAACAGTGGCCGAAAAGCCCATGCATCCCTCCTGTGAAGCAAAGCAACCCTGACCTGTATGAAATACTTGGTTTCCTGGCTTCCTCAAGAAACGTTCAGTGTTGCCCTGGAGGTTTCCATCAGAGAGTAAGAGACGAAGAGCAGAAGCCTCAGGAAGCAGGTTAGGAGAGGTAGAGGGGCTGGATTGGCAAGAGGTGACAACCCCTCTTGTACAGAAACACATTTCGTATAATGTGCACAAGATAAAGAACCGCTAAAGCCGTTTGGAAAGTCCAGCCAGGGGGCCGGGGGAAGAAAGGCCCCAAACACTACAGTGGCCCCAGATAGCTCCACTAACAGAGCAGACGGCAGTAAAAAACAAACAAACGAACAAAAAATCATCCATGAAGAGAGCATCATCTCCTATAAAAGGCCAAGCCAAGCCCTGCACAGTGTGATAGCCCCTGATAATATCACTGAACCATACCAAGGTACAAAAAGGGCTTACTGTTCATAATGACGGGATGACTCATCAAGACAAGGTGAAATACTCTCTAGTATACTCCGTTTACTAAGGCAGGGACGTGTGTAATACATTTAAGAAAGATGTCCCTCCAAAAAAAAAAATATTAAAACTTTAAAGATTTAGCACTTAATGGGTTAATCTTCAGTTATCTGAATTTTGTTTACACTCCTCATTTTACAACAATGCTAGTAAATGAGGCATTATGCTTTTTTTTAATAGTCATTAGTATCAAATTATTGGCACCATTCAGTTTTAAGAGTAGGGACAGGAGAGCAAACTATGCAATACAACATAAAAATACGGTTCAGATACAAATGTATGAGATCAAATCCACTTAACAAGTGGTCATAGAAATGGATGAACAGTTTACACACAAGGGAACACAGCTAGTAAATCATCACATGGAAAAGTGCTCAGCTTTGCTACCAATTAATGAAATAAAACAACTTTTCAAGAACAATAGGCATCTATTAAACTAGCAAAAATAAATTAAAAATGGCAAAAACCCAATACTGGCAGAGCTACTGGTAAATAGAAATGCTTATACATTGCTGGTGGCATCATAAATTGTAGAAGGGATTCAAGCATTCAGAAAGGGTGGGGAGGTTGAACGAGATGACCTTTAAGGTCCTTCCAACCCAAGAGATTAGCTCTTTCTAGAAAGCAATCTGGCAATATAAAACAAGAGCTATAAAATATTTCATGCTCTTTGACCTTGTAATCTTTCTCTGGAGATATTCCAAAAGAAATCATCCAAAGGCAGGAACATTTTTTTTTTTTACAAAGACATTCATAGCAGCACTATTTATAAGAGTGAAAAATTGAATATAACTCAAATATCTAATCATGGGGAGAAGTGAGGTTAACCATGTTACATGGATATAAGGGCATTTAAATTGGTGAAAGTAGGATCCGTGTTAAGTGTCAGATGGAGAAGTACAACACAAGAGAATGTACACACGGATCATAGCTATGTAAAAACGTGTGCATATTCATTGAGAAAGCTTAGGAAATAATTTAGAGGGATAGTTTGTAGATGGGGGTTCCCTTATTCCTGCAAAGTTGTTCAAGTGCATAATAAAAATTTAAAAACACACTTCTTGAAACTATATAAAAAGAGAACAAAGTTTCTTCAGGTCAAGTTTTTATCAATAGGACATGAATTGATCAACTTTAGAAATACTTTTCCTTTATAGAACACCCAAATGAATCTTCTTGATATTGAACCATCTTGACCTTGAAAGAACTTTTAGATATTTCAAGCTAGAATTGAACCTACTTTGGGTTCAGTGATCAGTTCTGTTTATCCCCAACAATATCATATCCAACAGGTTCATAAGATAAATTATATTTCAGATTAATAGGAAGTCCCTGCTGTCATGGTGATATGCAACTTACTTTTTTAGTTCATCTACTCATGTTTGAATAAAAATGAATGGTAAGGACTTTATCAGACTTGTGAATTTATCAGTGCTAAATGAAAAACCATCAGTAAAGAATTATTCTCTCATTAAAAATGACTCTTTAACAAACAGTCAAAGCTTTTGCAAGTTTCAGTCATACAAAATCACACTGTTGAGATTGATAGCAAAGGATTCCATGCCATATTACCCCTGTGGTTTTTAACGGATACACACAGGTACCTCGGAAAAGAAATCCCCATTTTCCCAGCTTTTCTCTACGCTTACGAAATCCTGTCTCCAGTACAAAGAGTAGAAAATCTCTAATGCTCAGGAGACATAAAAGAACTTTTCCAGTAAAAGTCGAGCCCGAGGTTGGCTTCACCTAACCATGGAGACCTGGGCGTACAGAGCACACAACATGTGTAAGTTGTGCTGGAGTGAGCACAGAAAGCCCGAGGAAAGAAAACGGACAGAAGGCACCATCCATCCTCCAGGCGACAGGAGAATTTCACAGTTCGGTCATCAACAGTCTTTTCATCATTTTCTCTCTTTCCAACTCCTGCCGGAGCGTCTCTGCACTAAAAAAGGAGTAAAGGACAAAACAGTGAGGCAAACACGCGAAGGCTGCAGGGGAATAGCTTCAGGCTCATCTCTCAGGTGTTGCTGTTGTTGTTGTTTTAGGTTTTCACCATAGGATGTGAGTGCTGGCTGGTGACAGAGAAAGGGAAGGTGAGAAATCATGCACACACACACACACACACCCGTGGGATGCCACCTGCAATCCTTTCTTCTCCATTCTCTTGAGCACACATGCACATTTTCAAGCTACTGGGTCCAAGACTCAAACCAGGGTTGGCCTGTGGGAGCCTAGTACCTTAACCACATGCCACCTGCTTCCATGAGTGAGTCAGAGAGAGAGGAAGACAGAGAGACAACACTCTCAACAGGATCTTGACACCACCATCTGCCCCCAGCCTCAGCCAGCCCTGGATCACTGAACATGCAGGTTGGCATGTCCATTGTTCAAGGAGGTCTGTAGACATGAACCTGGAACCTTCCCTCTGGGTCAGTCTTGTAAACTCTAGCATTTAATCCTGAGCCATCATGTGGCTCACCCCCTTTCTTTCTTTCTTTCTTTCTTTCTTTCTAGAATTATTTGATTTTAACTTTACTTATTTACTTATTTATCTACTATTTTTTCTTTTTTTAAAATTTGACTAGAGAGGAACAGAGTAGGGGAGAGAGAGAGAGAGAAAGTGAGAAAGCAAGTCGGCAGGTCTGGGACTCAAACAGCCTTCGGTCATGTGGGAATCCAGCACTCCTAGCCACCACACCACCTGCTGCCCCCTCCCCCGTTTCTTTTTTGATCTCTTTTTTTTTTTAAGTTTTTTTTTTTTTTTAAGTTTTTGTTTGTTTTTCATTGAGCAACAGAGAGAGAAAGATAGGATGTAATATCCCTGATAGGGTCTTAACACTGCACTCCTCCCCCAGAATCAGGCAGGTTGGATTACAGGCACACACATGCCCAAAATACTCAGGGAGGTCTCTAGAAATGAACTGGGGAACTTCCCATATGGGTTTGCTTCACAGAGCATTGCATTTACCACTGTGCCACTGCCAGATCCTGATCTCGGTTCTTGACTTTCCTTTTTCAGTTCCTTAAGAACCCCTGCTCCCCAACACACACATACACGCCTTTGCTAGCATGATGACGACCTAAAGTTGTCTGGTTACTTACTGGTTTCCCCCACCAGACTGAGAGCTTCTCAGGGGGCTGACCATATGTCACTCACCTCTAAAACCCCAGAGCCCAGCATAGGCTCATGCGCATAGCAACCACTTACTATAAGTTGAATGATTGGGAAGATGTCCAGGGGTAAGATTTCTTAAAATCATGCTTTAAATTGTTTTCATATGAACTTTCTCCCAACGTATGATCTGATGAATGTCTTGACAAAATTCGTATTGTATTCATTATGTTTTTTGCTAAAGTGGTTTATTTATTTATTCATTTTAATTTGACCAGAGAGGGACAGAGTGAGAGAAAGAAAGTGAGAAAGAAAGCAAAGCCACCAGGTCCAGGACTCAAGAGGGAGTCCAGCGCCCTTAACCACCATGCCACCTACCGATCTCGTTATCATTGTGTTTTAATGAAAAAAAAAAAAAAAGAGAGAGAGAGAATGAAGTAAAATTGGCTGCATTGAGGGATTGCCTTTGATGTCTTGGCCCTTGATCCAGTTGTCTATCCATGGAAACTGTCCCCACTATTTACGCACACACACACACAGAGTAATTACACATCTTTAAAGCTCTAAACCAAGTTTAAGAATGTCACTCAGGGTAGAAATGAAGGTTTCTACTACTAAGGCCAACCAGGCCCTGCATAATCTAGCCCCAGGCTGCAGCTTCGAGGGCCTCCCCTCCTGCCATCCTCTCTGCTCTGGACACAGAGGTCCCGACTGTTCGCTCTACCTAGTTGACTCTTTTCTCAGATAGCTGTCATTCTCTCCCGGCCCGCCTTCCGGCCTCTGCTTAAACGCCACCTCAGGGAGGCTACCCCAGTGTGTCCTGTTGCCTCGCACACTTTTATTTTCTGCCTGACCACTCGTCACTATCACATGCACAATCTTCTGTTTGTAGTCTCTCTTTCCCCTTATGGACTAAATTGGAAACCCCACGAGGGTGGAACTTTGATCTGTTTTTGTTTTGCTTTGTTTTTAGGTTTTTGCCATAGGGCGTGTGGTGCTCTCCAGAGAGAGACTGATAGAGACAGAGAGGGAACGTGAAAATCACCCCCTGAGGGTATGGCCACGCAGAAATCCCTTCTCCTCCATTCTCCTCTCAGGATTTCTGTCCTGCACACACACCCGGCATAATTTTCAAGCCACTAGATGCGGACTTGAACCACGGTCACCAGGTGGGAATCCAGCGCCTTAACCATTACGCCACCTGCCGGCCCCATATCAGTTTTAGTCACTGGACGTCCCTCGCACCCGGGATATAGCCTCCCCTTTGTGGACATTCCAGTAAGTACTTAGAGAATAAATGAATAAATTAGAAGGCTGTAGATGGTACTAACACATCGACCTGAGAATCTATACCTGGCTTCCCTGTCAGCAGAGCTACGTGCCCGTACCTGCTGATCGGATTTACCTGGCCGCCAGAGAAACAGGCTTCCGGGTGGTGTATATGGTCTGCACTGTGGCGACGGTCTCTGTCAAAGGCCTCAGGGTCGCTGCTGGAATCAGCGGGGAAGACTGGCCAGGACAGCATGGTAATTTACTGTCTCTAAAGTCTGCCTGGAGAAAAAGCAGAGCAGAGAAGATCAATCTCAATTTGGGTTCCATTTTCACACTGTCAGCTGCTCCCTAAGCCTTACTATACAGTTCCTGTTATTTTTTAATAACAGCTAAAATCAATGGCCATTTTAAGTGATTTTACTTTGGGCCAGACACTAGGCTAAGCACTTTACATACATTACCTCTTGACAGCCCTTTAAGGTACAGATCATATTTCATCACATCTTCGATACCATCAGTTGTAAGATGCACCATTTTGCACGCGTCATAAAGAAAAATGCAGCCAACCAAACTGTGTCATGCCCACTATTGGCATAAACATTCTGATTTCAGAGACATTAAAAGGTGAGAAAATGCGCGTTTTAGAACTGATTTTATGAAAAAGAAAAGCGAAGCTCAGAGAGGAAAAGTATTTTGCCCAAGGTCACACAGATAGTGTGAACAATATTCAGGCCAGCTGTGGGGATGTTGCAGTAACACAATGCTCCACAACGCTGAAGCCACATGGGAAGGTCTTGGGCTCACACCCTGAGGTCTCCTTGTCCATTTCAAGTGCCCTGGCACGTGTCCCTGCTTGTGATCCTGGCTGGCTGAGGCTAGGGCTAGATGGAGATGCGAAGGCCTGCTGGGAGTGCCTGTCGCTCTCTGTCTCTTTCTCTCTCTATCATGGAAAAAATAGATAAACTCCAAGGCATGCCAAGTCTCCAGAACCAAAGTAAACTGACTCCATAACTGGTGTCTTTCACCATTAAGGCAGTAGTTCCCAAAGTGTTGTGTCCAGACTAGCAAGCATTATCCTCTTTTTTAAAAAAAAAGAATTATTTATTTTATTTATTATTATTATTATTATTTAAAATTTGCTATAGGGCACATACGCTCATGGAGAGAGACAGAGAAAGAGAGAGACAGGGAAAACAACCCATCAGGTCCAGGACTCAAACTACACTCGGCCATGTCCAGCCGCTGGCTCCCAGCATCAGCATTATCTTACAGTTTTCAGTACAAAAGCAAAATCTCAGGTCCCTCTCATGATCTTTGGAACTAGAATATTTGGGAATGAAGTCCAACGATATGTATTTCTTCTCTTTTCTTTTCTCTTCTTCTTCTTTTTTTTTTTTTTTTTTTTTTATTTTTTTTTCCCATGGG